AGCTATGTCACCCAAGGTCACTTCAAGCATTCTAGCAAGATGGCAGACTGAACACAAACCGTCTGGAAAGAAAACTAAAAAAAAGGAAACAACCAAAAGAAAAAGAGGGATGTCATTGATAGATGAGTTATTTTGACAAATTTCTGAAAGATAGAAGGAGAATAGAAGCCTGTTGATGACTTGTTTCTCTTCTTAAATTGAGAAAATGGTAACCCAGGACAGTGGAGCAGGGACAGTGACAATGGAAAGAACTGACCTGCCAGGAGAAACTCTAAAGGAACTTTAGTTCAGAGTTAACAAATACAGCTCATCCATCCGGATATTTCCCCCTCACTCATGGGTGTGCTTGAAAGAGTGAACAGAGGGAAGGAAATTATCAAAACAATAGAAGAAAAATATCCACAGCTGAATAGAAAGACACAAGCCTTTGTTCTTGAAAAATCCCAACCAATGTTGAGATGAATGATTGCGAAAAGACCTACATATCTAAACAGCACCATGACACTTCAGATATCAGGAATAACCAGTATGTCTGAGAAGCTTCCAGAGAGAAAAATATATGTCAGAAAGAAAAGAACAAGAATCAGGCTGACAGGTGGCAATCCTAAGTATATGGGATGTTGAAGACACTAGAACAATACAAAACCTGAAAAGTTCTGGGGAAAAAATTAGAACCAATCAAAATATGAAGAGGAAAACAGACTTTTTCAAACGCCTAAGGACTTGGAACATTTACTTGCAGGCACTCTTGCTTAGAAAATTATGTGCTCGGGAAAAACGAGGGTAAATATCCAAGAAAGAGAAAAATGATCATAACAGAAACTGTGGAACTAAACCAAGAGTCCAGAGAAAAGACATTGCAGTGACAATTGAGCTGAAAGCTTCTGAATTCCCCTGGGAACATGACTCCAGGAGGAAAGGAATAGATTTTAAAGATTAGATGTATGGGTTAAAACATGATGTCATAATGACAGGGTGAAACAGACATGTTTCTTCTCTTTTAAGAAAACAACAAAGAGAATTAGAAAAGGGGAAACAAAAACAAAAACAAAAAAACTGTACAGGAAAGTCACAATCCAAATAGGAAGTAAACCAAGGTGTAGATGAGTTTCATCTCTATAGAAATAAAAAAAAAATAATAATACATGTGACTTGCATGTTAGAAATATTTCCCCTTGAGTTGCCTGGACATATAATATTGGGTCCTGTATCACATAGGGTTTGGTTACAAGTAATAGAAATCTCTGAATATCAGAGGCTTAAGGAAGATAGGTTTATTTTTCTCTTGCATGAAAGAAGGAACGTTAGAGCTGATATGATGGCTTTAAGATGATGGAGGAGCCCAGGATGTTTCTATCTTGTTGCTCTGTCAACCTCCACCTATGGCTTCCAAATAAAGGTAATTGTTAGAAAAACCCACATAATAAACTATTAAAAGAGGATGCTCTGGAAGTAGAGCTAGGAAGGAGCAGGTCAGAGCAACAATTGTTTTTTATGGTATATATATATATATTTACCATGTACAAGTATTATTTTGATTTAAAATAATACAAAGAATAAAAAAAGTAAAGGGAAAGATTCATTTTATATTCCTTTAGTTCTAATGCCACTTTCTCAAAGAAACCATGCTGATTGCCTTTCTGAAATGTCACAATCACTCTTCTCATCCCTTAAGAAACTCTCTAGTTCATTATCTTGTTTTTAGTTTTCTTCATTAGCAGTTGTCAGTATCTGCAATCTTGAAATTTTATTTGTTTATGTCTAAATTGACACCTCCTCTAACTATAATGTAAGTTCTATAAAGAAAGGGGTATTTTAAAAATTGTTCTTTTCTGTGTCTCCCATCTCTACAATAGTCCTTGGACTATAGTAGGCATTTCATACAGATTCCTTGAATAAAGAAACACTGAAACAAATATTTAGAAGTCACAAGGATCAGAGGGAGATAAATAAGAAGTTTGGACAGGTGCTTTTTTATTTATTTATTTGACAGAGCACTAGTGGAAGGGGGCACAGAGGGAGAAGCAGACTCCCTACTGAGCAGGGAGCCAGATGTGGGGTTCGATCCCAGGGATCATGACTTGGGCTAAAAGGCAGACGCTTAACCAACTGAGCCACCCAGGTGCCCCTGGACAGGAGCTTTATCTGTAAGAAACCTATAGTTCATAGTGGTATTAAAAAAATATATTGTAAGAAATGCTTTAGACCTAAGTTTCACAAGATAGCATTCTAGTTTACTGAGATATTTTTGCAAAATGGTCTCTATGATTGAAACAAATTTGGGAAATGATACATGCTATATATACCCTAGAAGATTTATAATGGTACATTGGTATAGAAAAAGTTCTGATGAGAATTATAATAAATAAATAAATTTGCTTAACTCAACATTGACACAAACTCTTTTATTGCATAATAATTTTACTAGCATCTTGTAGAGCTAGACCTCCATGGAGCATATTTTCAGAAATGCTGCTAAATTTGTTACTTAAAGATCACATAGGGCTCACTGTATGTAAGTTTTAAGGAATTCAGAGAAATAGAAACAATATAGATTTAAATGTGGTGGGACAGTGATCATGGGGTTCTTGTCATAACATGTGAAAAAAAATAAGAAGTGTGAATTTGTCCTTATATTTCTCTCTCTGGACAGATGATTATGCTTGGAGAGAAGAATGTTGGGATGGAACCGCATGGTTGGGTATAGAAAATGGCTTGTCATTTTCACACGCACCGAGGGCCAGGCTGTTAGCTACTTACTAAACTCGGAAGAGAAGTTCAAGGTAGTGAACTTGCACAAATATATCCTTTCATTGTTAAATCACTCTACTTGAAGCACATGAAGTATGACTGAGGCTTTATAAAAAGACATGAGAAATTCTAAAGCAATCAGAAATATATAACCATTCTGATATACTTTGTACTCCTCCAAAACATTCACAAAGGTCTCCCAATCCTATGTTTATTTCTAAAGATTGTCAAATGAAGTTAATGTGTTTTTAAATTATATGTCTCTTTAATTTTAATTTTCTTAGCATATGGTGGGGGTTTTTTGGTAGCAATTGAAATAGGTAGTTACCTTCTAAACTCTGCCACAGCCTTATCATTATGTTATACTAATCATAATTCCCAATCATTTTGGTCATGTTTTTTGTATCTATTTTATGGATCATAATTATAGTATTAAGTGCTTATTAAGTATGCTTAAGGATTCTTCTCATTACTTCTAACTTCTGGGGTAAATTAAGATTAGTTTGTCCACTTCACTGTTTAGGAAACAAAAATCTTTAGCTATTCCAGTTAAATTTGGTCTATTTAAAAAATCCACAAGGGCTTTATCCAATAACATCACATCTATTCTTTTTTTTTTTTTTTTATCACACCTATTCTTAAAGACTCTCATATTTAAATTTTATTGACCAATTTGCAGAGTGGTTAGAGAACAGTACAGATAAACAAGGGTTTCTTATTTTTTTCCTACAGTTGGACAGTTGAGTTCCACATATGGAACTCAAGGGGTTGACTGACTCATTTAAGAGTCAGTGATACCACTTTGCTTGGCTTTTACATCAAAACATTATGTACATGGAAAAGCCATTTGAATCTTCAGTTAGGGCTCATTCTGGGCTGGCTTTGAATCAAATCCCTGACTTGGGTTTTGCCAGGAAATTTCTCAATCTGACCAGAGCATACATATCGAGCCTTTTGAAATTCCCATTTTTATTGGCCCAAACTGGTTGACACTCAGCAATTTAATATGTTCAACCTAGTAGAGGTAGTAGAGCCCAAGAACCATCTTAGCTCCCTCTGTCCCTAGGGCAAACTAATCTTACATGCCACCTCTAGCTGCTACCCAGGCAGATAGCATATTTAACTGTTTTAGCAAGAAAGAAGTGGTAGGACTTGCTCTGGTGTGAAGTGATAGTTAATTTTCCAAATCTGGCCAAAACTAAGGAAACACTATTCTTTTGGTGGATGAGTGAAAACGGAAACGTAATGGCATGACCAACTATCCGATGCTTGATGAATATCACTTTTGCCTGTTGTGCTGAAAAATCCCACGTCAAACAACTTAAAGAACTTTAAAGAAAAAGTTTCCATGGCCTATCTTGTCTTTCTCTGGGCCAAAAAATATTTTAAAATCTGATTTGATTGATGAGTTACATTGTGTTCGAATGTCTAGAGTATGGCAGAAAAACTGCTGTGCGAATTCCTCTGGACTCACCTGGGTTGCTGATATGTCTGCACAGGGGCTTGGCACTAGGTGATATGAAATATGAATGTCCTGTCATGCTATTTTAGCTAACCTCAAGTAGAAAAGCTTCTGAAACATCAATATTTTGGGTCAGACTTTCCTAACTTTTGGTCGCAGAAGTGAATGTTTCAAGGTTCCTCAATAAATTATTATATACCTTTGACTCCATGAAGACTTGCCCTCTACAGAACAAATCGGTTGTGTGGGGTGAAGATTGGAGAACAATGTTCCTTGTTGTTGAACAAGAGAATGGCATGATCAGATCTCAGTGGAAGCAATAAGAATAATAGATTGAGCAGTGTTGCAAATTGTATTTTACAAAGACAGAAGCAACATTATATTCCCACCAAACTTCTACATCCATGCCATGCCCCCATCAAGAGGTAGAGTACAGGGGCGCCTGGGTGGCTCAGTGGGTTAAGCCACTGCCTTTAGCTCAGGTCATGATCTCAGGGTCCTGGGATGGAGCCCCACATCGGGCTCTCTGCTGAATGGGGAGCCTGCTTTCCCCCACCCCCACCTGCCTCTCTGCCTACTTGTGATCTCTCTGTCAAATAAATAAATAAAATCTTAAAAAAAAAAAAAAAAAGAGGTAGCGTACACATTTCCCTTCCCTAGTTTTCTATCCCCAGCCTTTGAAACTGAGTGGGTCTCTGCAACTGCCTAGACCAATAGAGTTTGGTGAAAATGACACTCTGTGAGTTCTAAGGCTAGGATACAAAAATGTCATGCCCTTCCCCCATAGGACTCTTGCTTTTGGAATCCAGATATGATGGCATAAGGGAGTGTCCAAGAAACCCATGGAGAGGCCCACAAAAGAGAACTGAGGATCATTGCCCAGGGTCCTGGTCTATCTCTAGCAAATAGCGAGCACAACTGGCTAGAATGTGAGTGGACCGTTGTGAAAGTGGATCTTCCTGCCCCAGGTGAGCTATTACAGCTGCTGCGACACAGAGACATGAAGAGCCGTCTTCACTGGGGTCCCAGCCAAACTCGAGATTCATAAGCAAAATAATGAGTTACTATTGCTTAAAGCACTATGTTTTAGAGTGGTTTGTTACATGCAATAACCCAAACAGCTAATTTTAGTCGGCCTTAATTGAGGCACAGACAGTACCCCAGGAGCAAACTGTGCCTCCTCCTCAATATATACCCCCCCCCAGCTTTCTTCCCCTGGTCTAAATCATCCCAGTTCCCTCTGCCTTTCCTTATATCACCTACTTCTTCTTCATTGTTTTGATTACTCTTCCCTAAATCCCCTCTCAGGTTTTAAGACCCCAAGCTAGACACATTATGTTAATAAAGGCTTGATTAAAGCTGAGAGTAATTAGAGGATTAAGTGTAATTCCTACATTCTATTATCTTATTTATAGAACTTGATGGCAGGCTCTAAATTTTAACAGCAAGTGCTGAATTTAGGACTTAACCTGACACTGCATTCCTTCCAACTTCAACAGACTTTAACATTTTCTGTTTAAATTAAATATTGCCGGCACCCAGAAAGTTATACGGGAGACCACAACAAACGCCCAACCAGTCTCTCTTGTATCAACTTTTCACCTTCACCATTTTTGCTATAGATTAAAAAGATAACAATAAAATGCAGATACAATTGACCAGCCCTCTCTGATTCTGTTCCCTCCCCCAGAAAAAAAATACTACTGTCCTCAGGGGGTTGTTCATCATTTCCATAACTGTTTCATACAATTATGATACATGTTTATATCCATAAATAGTATATAATATTGCTTTGTTTTAAACACTTATTATAGATGAAATTTTTACGTATCCTTCTGCATCTTATTTTTTGGATATGTTCATTTTAGTTCCTATGTGGTATTTTATTGTGTGACTATAGCCATAATTAATTAGATCCTCTGTTGATAAATGCGTAGGTGGAATCATATTTTTATTGTCACAGGTCATGCTGTAATGCACATTCTTGTACATGTCTTCTTCTGTACATGTGAAGAAGTTTCCTTAGGGCTATACCTAGAGGATGAATTGAGAGTATTAAGGATACACATGACACTGGATTTAGAACATATGGACAAATTTTTTCTTTGAATGTGTTTCTGCCAATTCAATTTCCATCAGAATTGTTGAAAATTCCTGTTTCTTCAAATTCTTACCAAAATGTGGGATTATAAGACTTTCTGATTTTTGGACATCAAGTGAATATGAAATGCAATTTAATGAGTTTTTCATTTCTTTGTTTACTAATGTTATAGAGTTCTTTTGTACGTTAATATTCTTCTTCTATTTCTCGAATTGATTTTTGTCCTTTTCCTATTCATTTGTAAGATTTACATACAAATCTTGCAGATTAACTTCTTGTTAACTATGTGTGTTGCAGATACTTTCTATCAGCTACATATATTACATTTTAACTTTGTTCAATGTCTGTTATTGAACTGAAACTTTAAAAACTTAATGTCAACTTTATTTACCTTTTCCTTTATGGTTTGCACTTTTTTCTGTCCTTACTAAATGGATCTGTTCCTTCCTGGAAATCGTTAAATATCTTATCTATTTTTTTTCCAAATGCTTAACCATTTACTTTTTACATTTGGATCTTTCATTTCTTTTTTCTTAATTTTTTTTTGATATGATGTGAAGTAGGAGTTGATCTTTTTTTCTACCTGGATAATTCATTGTTTTGACCATGTTTTCTTTTTTTAAGATTTTATTTATTTATTTATTTATTTATTTATCAGAGAGAGTGTGTGCATAAGCGGGTAGTGTGGCAGTCAGAGGCGGAGAGAGAAACAGGCTCCCTGCCTAGCATGGAGGCCGATGCGGAGCTCAATCCCAGGACCCTGGGATCATGACCTGAGCCAAAGGCAGTGGCTTAACTGACTGAGCCACCCAGGCATCCCTTGACCATGTTTTCTGAATATTTAGTCCATCTTCACTGATCTGTAACACCATCTCTGACATAAACAACATTTCTATGTAAGTGTTTGTTGATTCTGGTGTCTTTTTTCTGCTTTCCTGTTCTGTCTAGGCTTGTATCAAAGTCACTATCTTAATTAACATAAGTTTATTGTAATATATGATAGAATAAGTCTTTCCACCTTATTTTTCAGGATTATGTTAGTGATTCTTTTTTTTTTTTTCCCTTTTCTCTGTGAATTTTAGGATCAGCTTGTCATGCTCTTCAAAAATACTCTCTGGGATTTTGATGGAATTAATTTGTGATAAAATTAACATCTTCATAATTCTGAGTCTCTCCATTCATGACTGTACTGTATTCTATCTCCATTTATTTAGGTCTTTTTTTGTTGTTGTTCCCTTATAAGGTTTAATAATTTTATCCATAAACAGAGTTGATTCTCATTATTCATGGATTTCATATTTGTGAATTTGTCTCCTCCCTAAAATTTATTTGTGACCCCTGGTCAATAATCACCCTAGTTTCATGGTCGTTTACAAATATGTGCAGGGTAGCAAAAAATTTGAGTTGACCAAGATACACCCATGTTCCCAGCCAAGTTCTGGCAAAGTCATGTTTTGCTTTCTTGTTTTAATTCTCATATTATAAACATGAGTATCCTTTCTGCAGTTTCATACTTTTGTGCTCTTTTTTGGTGATTTTACTGTTTAAAATGCCCCTCCCACCCCAAACATAGTACTGAAGTATTATCTAGTGTTCTTAAGTGCAAGAAGGCTAGGCCTTTTGGAGAAAATACATGTGGTATATAAGCTTTGTTCAGACATGAGTCATAGTGCTGTTGGCTGTGAGTTTAGAGTTAATGAATCAACAATATATATTTAAGTGAGGTCTTTTAAAACAGAAACACACATGAAACAGGTTATATATTGATCAGGCAGTCAAAATGTAACCAGAAACTTTCAGGAACCCTACCTTGTATTTTCCCTAGGAGCAATGGTTCACTATTTGCTACTTGAGTGTTTGTGGCAATTTTATAGAACATAATTACTATAAATAATGAGAATCGGCTACATCCTAAACATTTTTTATTATATTTATTTCAAGATACCTTGTATTTTATGTAATTGTAAATAGTATCTGTTTTTACATTATATTTTCTGATTTGTTTTCACTGGTGTTGACTGTATTGCTTTTGACAGGCTAATCTTGTGTCCCAGCTTTGTCATTGAACTACTAACTGTGTGAGTCTTGGTGAGTTTATTAGTTCGCTGGGGCTGCCCTCAGGAAGTACCACAAACTGGGTGGTTCAGAACAACAGAAGTTTATTGTCTCACTGTTCTGGAGGCTAAACATCTGAAATCAAACTCTTGGCAGGTTCCTGATGCCCCTCAAAACCTCTAAGGGACTCCTTCCTTTCCTCTTCCTAGCTCCTTTTGGTTGCTGGGAATCTGGCATTCCTTGGTTTGTAGCCACATGACTCTAATCTCTGACTTTGTTGCCACATGGCACTCTTTCTTATGTGTGTCTATGTCCAAATTCACCTCTTCTTTAGAGGGCATCAGTCACATTGAATTAGGGCCCACCCTACCGAGGTCATCTTAAATTGATTATAGCTGCAAAGATCTGATTTTCAATAATGTCATATTCACAGGTTCTAGGGGTTAGGGTTTCACCATATCTTCTGGGGAATGCAATTCAACCTATAACAGAAAGTTATTTTATCTCTCTGTACATCAGTTTTCTTTGGAAATAGTAACTGTGTTATTCTCAATCTAATTGCATTAGATTAGTTAATATTGTTAGTTGATAATATATGGAAAATACCTAGAATTGTGCCCGGCCCACAGTAAGAATACAATATGTATTAGCTAATTAAGGTCACTTGGGTGGCTCAGTCAGTTAAGTGTCTGCCTTTGGCTCAGGTCATTACCTCAGGGTCTTTTGATCAAGCCCTGGGTCAGGCTTTCTGCTCAGTGGGGAGTCTGCTTTTTTCCCTGCCCTTCCCCCTTTCCCTCCCCCTGCTTGTGCACTCTCTCTCAAATAAATACATAAAATCTTAAAAAAAAAATACGTGTCAACTAGTTAAATCACTTTTCTCTAATCACTTTTTTGAACACTGTTCCTGGTTTCAGTAGTTTGTCTGTAGATTATTTTGAATATACTCTATAGATAATCCTTTTGTATGGAGATGGTAATTTTGTTTTTTTTGGTTTTTATACATTTTATTTTACTCTCTTACCTTATTATTGTAAGATGTCCATGATAATGTTGTATAAAAGCTGTGATAATAGGATAGTGAGCATCTTGTTTTGTTTGTGATTTAAATGGGAGTTATTCTATAATTTTATAGAATTTGTTAAATATGATGATTGCTATAGATTTACAATGATGTCCTTTCTCAGGTTAAGAAAGTTTATTTCCAGTTATAATTTTTAAAGGGGTTTTGTTTTTAAAGATTTTATTTATTTACTTGAGAGATAGAGAAAGAGCACATGCTCAAGCACACACAAGCAGCTGGGGGGGGGAGGGCAGAGGGAGAGGAAGAAGCAGACTCCCCGCTGAGCAGGGAGCCTGATGTGGGACTCCATCCCAGGACACTGAGATCATGACCTGAGCTGAAGTCAGAGGCTTAACCAACTGTGCAACACAGGAGCCCCTAAAGGGTTTCAAAAATAAATTTTGAATGAGTATTAAATACTTTTAAAATGCATTTCTTAAAACAATTATGGTGTTTTTCTCCCTTCAATATCAAGTCCCAAATTCTAGGAACCGGCAGCAAATGAAAGTTTGGGCTATGGGTTAGCAGGCGAGTGAAAACTAGTTGAACTCAGACTGGATTGAGAACAAAGGAAGAAATACAAATTAAATTTGAATGAATGTCTTGTTTTGCAGGTGCAAAGTGTTTGGATGTGGAGGACTAGCTTAGAGTTAGTAATAATAATTAGTCATAATAATATAATAGCCACATAATAAGTAATAGTTCACATTAACCTTCCTTACCAAATCCTTCCAACACAATGGAAATAAAAGGACATACGTTTCCTTTTGTAGTTTACAAAGTACATTTATTTTGTGAGCTCATTCTAAAGAAGCACAAGAATTTAAAAAATCTGAAATAATGAAGGAAAAAATGTTTATAATACTTGGACACAGGAGACAATATAATTCCAATTTCATGCTTAGTCACAAAATCATCCTAAATAACTTGTTGAAATTCAGCCTGTAGTGTGGTATAAATTCTATCGTGGCCAACTCATCCCCAGTGGCTCAGGCTCTATGTGAGTCATGGGGAGGTTAATCATTCCCTCCCCACCCCACCCCTGTTCTTTCCTCCTAAACAAATAATTTTTATTGTTATTTGAAAGTTCATTTCACTGTGATAGATCATCTTTTCGGTATACGGACAAGGTAAAAACATGGCTCAGGTCCATATAAAACATTCTGAAACCTATTTGTGATGACCGTTTGGACAGGCTTTGTAGCTGATGTATCTCTTTAGATGACAATTGGGTACTGGCCTGAACTTCTGTACTCCTCTTCTGTTTATACCATCAATGAGTAATCTCCTGTTGTTTATACCTCAGGGGCTGGTTGCCTCTTGACTTCAAATCCTCAGAGTGAAAAAAGCAGAGGGGAAGCAAGGAGCTCATGGTAATCTGGAGTCATTTCAGAATTTCTGTGAAGTGAGAAAAACTCAGCGTTGTTTACTTCTTTACTTCTGAGCTATTAGTCCTAGTTGTCGGCACCAGAGTTGCCCATGATTGAAGGCTGTAAGTGCAAAAATCAAAAGGCAATTCAGGCATCTTTCTGGTCAGGTCTGGGACCTGCTTCAATAAGTTCCAGTGGAAAAAGGAATATTTCTCTCTGCTTACAACTTGTTTTTCGGGTTCCTAAAATGACCTACAAAAAAGTAAATGCTCTGTTAAGAGTTACAAATTATACTGAAATTGTCTTCCCATTTTCTCCCTTGCCCCTTCCTTCTTTCCTTCTTTCACCTTTCCTCTTTCCCACCAACACACACCTCACAGGTGTCCATCCTGTATGTCAGAGATGCGTGATATGTACAAAGTACCTAGCACAGTTTCTAGTTTACAAGTACTCCGTCAGTGGCCACTACCCCTAATGAGAACATTGCAAATTTTGGTGCGATTCGTTATCACATGCAGTGAGCACCTTACCAAGGAGAGGCTTCCTCATGATGCCTTTTTCTGGTTAGAAGTTGATGTTTGTGATAGCACCGTTCACTGGTCGGAAAAAGGACAATGACAAAATTATGCAAAATCCAGTTTCTAGTGATGTTTCCAGAGGGGGGTGGTGAAACAAAATCTCTCTGCAAGTCTTGATCTGAACATTGGGCTAATGAGGACATGTGGCCATAGATGATTGGAAGATTATAAAAGGTTAATGGATGACTCTTTAAAAATATATAAAGACTTTTTCCCCCCAGTTTGGAGGACTGCTTTTTCTAAGTTCGCACACAAATTCTTTTTTATAGCGGGTAGGCTGCCTTTCTCAGCTGCACACTGTCATTCCTAAACAATCCTAGAGCTAAAAATTTTAAGTGCTGTCACCCCAAATTGCTAGACAGAACTTACTCTTTAATTTGTCTGTCACTCTGTCTGTCACTCCCCTTGTACTTTGTGGCAAGGCATTGGTTCAACTGTCATCACTTGAGTTCCTTTCCAGTAAAAAGAGAGGGCCTGTTTTACTCCTGTGATGACCAGAGTGGTCACCTATAGCTGCCCAGGGCTATTTTGACCTTCAACTTTGGCGGGGTGTGGCGGGGGGGAGTCCTGCTGACAAAGTACAAGTAACAAATCTTTATTCTTTTTACATGAATGATCCTTCACCTCAAAACTGTCAATTAGTTGTAAAGACTCAAAAATTGAGAAGCAATGATGGGGATAGATTTAGAAACTGGTCACTCCAACATTTAATTATGATTGTACTTTAAGCAAATGACTCACCATAGCGCTGAGCTCAGCAATGCTTCACAGAGGCAGGTAAGAAGTGCATTTGGCTTCCCTAATGGAGGATGTAAGGAACTTATAGATCAATGGGTGGGAAAGACCATTAAATAGCTAATTACTCTTCTTGACTTTCACTGATTTGGTATATCTAACCTGGGGGAAAACACTTGGAGGGAAATAATTTACTGTGTTCGCCTGCCTTTTTCTCACTCTCTGAGCACGAAATTTCTGGAGGCAGAACCTGCTAAAGGACGCTATCGGGTCCCAAGGGGAAGGAGAGACTGTGTCACAGTCAAGGCTGAGTGATAGGGTCCCAAGAAGAGTCAAAAAGTAAACTTTGGTTTAATCTCTACCTCCTGATCCAAATCCTTTCTGATTGCTGCAGGAAGTCTTTGGGTGAGTGTAAGGTAAAGAAAAAGCATCTCCTGCAGTCCGATGTTATGACATTATCTTTTCCTGCTCCCAAATGGGGATCTTTGACCCCTGTCAATGTGGAGGTACATCTTCCTCTCACCTGCATCTGCCCTGGCACTAGGCCACAAAGCATATTTGGTGTGTGTGTGTGTGGTTTCTTACAAAGACTTTAATAAGACAGGGTTTTGTTCTGTGGACTCTGTATACAGGGTTCTTCTACCTCTGATTTTGGCTTTAGACTCTAAGGGAAGGGATGAGGTACAGGTTGAGGATGATCCTGGTGCTCTTCTCTGTGCTGTTCAAAGACCACACTCTTCTCTAAGCCCCCTCCTTAAGGTTGGCACTTAGTTTGACCTCTGTACCTCCTTGACCCTCTGTCCACACTGTCCTGTTCTCCACTGAGCTCACATTCTACATCCCGGGGGATGAGGGGTGATAAGGATGATCTGCAGTCCCACTGCCCATCAGACAGACCCCCAGATGGCTTTGATTTTGCAGTGAATGCACATTTTGGGCCTTTGTTCTGGGACCTTTGCGAAAGTAATGACAGCCATCTTTTTTTTAGTGTTATAAATGAACAACTTGATTTTTAAAATGAAATTATTCAAGGAAAGAATATGAGGAGAGGTTGGAGGACATAAAACATTTTAAATACTTCATCTACTGATGATTTCTTTTTTTTTTTAAATATGTCAAGTTTTGGAAATGTGAACAGGGTAACTTTTTCTGGATCTTTAATGGAAGGATCAATAGTTGGGAGAATACAAACCTACCTCTGCAAAAGTTATTTTTCAGATAACTCTCTAGGAGGTGGCACTATTAATTTTATGTTAGTCTTCTTGTGTAGAATGTTCTAAAATAATGTGATTCCCACAGCTCGGTTTACATTTGTCCCCTAATCTCCCACCCCTCCTCCCATGTGAGGAGCTAATATTTTTCTGACTGGCTTCCTTTCTCTCCTTCTCCTCAAATTTCAGTCAAAGTCCATTTTGGGAACTTGTGCTTATAGTTTAGAAAAATTTATTGATGAGAGGCTTTGCTCTAATATATAATTAAGGAGTCAGAATTCTATGTCCAAGATGCTTTTTAAGTGCCAACAAAATATTTTAATTTACATACTAAAGTCTTTGTTTTGTTCTTAAACCTTTTGGACTTTCTTGATACATTTATCAAGTATGATTCCAAAAGTTCTTACGTGGGCAATGTGCAGTGTGTGCTTAATAGATAACGTTAATAAACTCACACTCAATCATAACACTAAAAGCCACTTACATCTGGACTTACTGGCAATAAAAAGAGACATTACAGAACTTTGGGAATTTGATCAAGGCGCCAAATACTAGTCTTAGATTACAAAATTGTAGAATCTAACTACTTGGGAAAACAAAGCAATCAAGGACAGACTTTTGGTAAAAGCTTTGCACTGTAGATTAATAATTAATGTGTTAAATGTACTTTGTAATAAACTCTATCATCATGGATTACTTTTGATAGCTAAATTGGCAATGATACCCCAGTGTGGCTTCATTGACTCAAGCTTTCAATTTTACTTGCTAGATTTATCAGGTTAAATGACAATGAACCTATTATAGGCCTATTTTAACTTGTTTAGAAATCATAATTAATTTAAAAATATTGATGGAGACTGCAAAAATTACACAAAAAATTGGCAAAGTAACAAATAACAGGGAAGGTCTTTAAAAGAGAAAGTGGCATAATCTAATTTTAAGGTAAATAAGTAGCATTCAGAAGGGAAAAGCATTTCAAAGGAGATAATGTTTTTCATTCAAGAGAGTGTTGAAGGTAGTGCTATCTGATTATTATATGTGGATAATAAAGACCAAATATTCAGTAAGTTAGTCTAAAAATAGTCCAATGTTTCAGAAACAAGTAAATCATATCTTATAATTTGTATATAATATAATTTATAAATATATGAATTATGTTACACCTACTCTGAGGTCAGAAATTAGAAGTAGCCGTAAGAATTAAATGTTTGGAAGACTGAGAAAAATATCCATTGTGATGTGTTTAAATCCAGAACTCTCAGCATTTTTTTCAGAAATTGAATATAAATCCCACCAGAATCCTTTGGAACACACGGAGAATGGCAAACCAAACAGACCATCTCTTAGAAAAGTGAATTTTATTTCCTCAATCTTTGCCTTAACCTTAAGGAAATTGCATTTATTTCTATTTTCATAGGGTACTCCATTTTCAGAAGAGGGATATTCAAGGGTCATGCTGGAGTTAAGGTACAGGGTTACTGCAAAAATCTGTAATTCATTGCTTGTTTTGAGATTCCCCTTTTCCCTACCCCAAGAACAAAAATCTCACTAACACTTTAGAACTTTACTTATTGCAAAGGATTTTTGTTTTTCCATTGTATGATGTTGTTCATTATTTTAAAACTCATGCAAAGCAATACTATATTTTTATTATGGTATTAATAATACTATATATTTATTATGGGTATATGTAAATAGATTATCTGAGAAAAAAAATTGCCACAGACAACAGTGGGGACTTCCATAGAAGAAATAGAGATTGAAGTCTTTATTTGAAGATCAAAGGGGACTGAAGCCACAGAGCATCCTCACACACACTATTATTTTTTAGAGTGGAAAGATTTGTTAAGTCTTTCCTCTATGTTCATCTCAACTAATAGTTGAGAACATAATATATTTCAGCTACTTGGAATACATCAGTGAACAAAGTCTATGACCTCACAACTGACACCCTTATGGGGAGTACAGACAAAAAAATAACAGACGTAAAAAACAAGTAGATTAAATAGGATGTTAGAAGATGATAATTAGTATAGAGAAAGAAAAAGAAAAGTTTGGAAGGAGGTGAGGGATTACGCATGGGGATATTTGGGTGAAGAGCTTTCCAAGATGAGAGATCAGTCAAGGCCAGATCCTCAGGGTTGGTGAGCCTGTCCCCTCGAGGAATTGCAAGGTGGCTCATGTGGTTAGAGCAGAATGAGGAAGAGATTAAGTAAGTCAGACAGACAATACAAACCATGGTGAAGTCTTTGGTTCTTCCTTGAAGGGAAATGTGGAGCTATGACAGGAGTTTGAGCAGAGGAGTGACACAATCTCACCTGAGTTTGAAAATCTCCCCCCAGCTGTTGTGTTGAGGTAGAGGGTAGAGGACAAGGTTCTCAGGGAGGCCAGTCAGGAGCTCAGACACTAATCTAGGGGAGGGCTGAGGTGGCTCAGACCCAGGAAGGTGCAGTGGAAATAGTGAGAAAAGGATAATTTGAACATATTTTGAAGGAACAATGGACAGGATTTCCTGAGATTGGATGAGGGTAAAAGAGAAGGACGTAAAAGTGAAGAGGAAGGTAAGGTAAGGGTAAAAAGTGAAGAGAAACTCCAACATTCTTTGGCCTAAACACCTGGAAGGAGGGAGTTGCCAGCAATGGAAATAAAGGGAAGGCTGAGCCACCCAGACATCCCCTAATATTGTCTTTAAGTATATCTAGGTCAACAGCCAAGTAGGAAATGAGATGTGAGAATCTTGAGTTTGGAAGATGAGTCTGGAGTGGATATATGTGTCTGTACTTGGGAATCATCAACGGTGGATGGTGTTTAAGGCCCTGAGGTGGATGACACGGCCAAAGCAGTGAGGATAGGGAGAGATGAGAAGATCAGGGGCCCTGTCTCTCTTCATGCTGCAAGCATGAAACACACACTTAGTGAGATAACTATGTAATTGCAATAACGAGCAAGTGCTATGAAGGAAAATTTCATGGGGCTCTGGGGCGTAAGATGGTCAGGGTGAACTTCCCACAGAATGCGGCCCTTTCAAGGAGACTAGAAGGAGAAGTAGGAAAGAGTCAGCCTGAAAAAGCA